TTTCCTTAGGGATGGGGGATAACCTGGTTCCTAGCCTGCCTAGCTGAAAATGCAAAATTACTCTTTAAGATCCTAAAATCATGCTCTTGTGTAGCTTCTGAGCTCTTAAGCTGAACTGGCTGGCTTGTACAGCACTATTCCTGCTAACCAGGGTGGCTTTTAGAGCACTGCTGCTTCTCTAGCAACAGGTAATGTTTTCTGGGTATGCGACAGAATCACTGAGGAACCATTCCAGCTTCTGCTCCCCGTGGTTACAGAAGGAAGCAGTGCTGCCCTTTCCCCAGCAAACTTGCTCTGCCGGGCTTTCAGTTATATTTTTGTGCAAACGAGGGGGAGGTGCTCACACCCTCTGGCTGTAGGGACCTGGCTGAGAAGCTGGAGCCTCCTGGGACAGGAGAGGCAGGTTGCTGTGGTGACACCTTTAATGTGAGAGTTGGTATGACTTTCAAGCAGAGCTGACAGGTACTGAGACCAGCTTTTTTCTGATTTGGTATTATTGTAGTTGCAGTATCCAGTTTATTGGGATCACCTGGAGTTCTGTGATGGATTCAGAAAACTGTTAGACCACCTTCAGCTGGATAAAGTGAGTGCTTTGAGGTGGGGAAATGGACATATATAGTTGCAATAAAAACCTGGTGTTTGAAAGAGTCTCATGAGTGTATAAAATATGACACAAAATCATAGCCTATAAATAAAGAACCTGTGATGAAATTTTACTTCTGAAACAAGTTTGGTTTTGAAGGTGAATACTCTTGAAAATTTTCATACTTGGACTAAATTCAACTGCTGTTCTAGGCCTACTGAATTGTAATGGTTGACTAGTTGCCCTTCCTAACTCATGTAGTATGGAATAACACAGGGAAGTATCTTGGATTGGGATAGCTACTGAAGCCAAAGTGAAATGTTCCAATATTTCTTCTTAAGCTTGGTGAGCAAACAGAAATTTGAACCATGAGCTGGAAACACTTCCTTTTTTCAGCATTTATCATATTGCTATCACATATAAAACCAGAAGCTGAACAGAAGAGTTTGATTGTTTTAAAAAATGGGTTATGAAGACAGGATAAAACTTGAATGGCTTTTTTTTTTTAAATGAAACGTGCTTAGTTTACTTGTTTCACAAGTGTAACAAGTTTCTTTTTTTCCCTTGGATTAGGTTCACCTTTTTGGAGCTTCTCTGGGAGGCTTTCTGGCTCAAAAATTTGCTGAATACACACACAAATCTCCCAGAGTTCAATCTCTGATCCTGTGTAATTCCTTTAGTGACACTTCTATCTTCAATCAGACATGGACAGCAAACAGGTAAGGAAGAGTAAGACAAGCAATCAGATTCATGGCATTAAGTTTTTTGCAATGACATATCATGCTGATCTGGTTGGGCATGTGCCTAACCTGTTTCCAGCCTGGATGAGGAAGGTGTGGGCTGGAATAATTTTTACTTTTAAAGCCATGCCACGAGGAGAGTGGAAATTTTCACAATTGGGATTGTGGAATTTGAGAGACAAGTTGTTCTGTTACCGTCTGTGGATGTGTGGTTGGATTGAAGGATTCTACCTGTTTTTAGCAAAATGATTTAGAGGTAGAAATGTTATTCACTGTATTTAAAATATAGTCTTACAATACAAGACTAACAGCTTCCTAGAGTATTTCAAGCACCTATCTGGCAGGTTTTCCATCTCTGTACTCTTGAAGCTTTGTCAGTTTAATTTGCAATTAAAGCACAGTGTCAGTGCAAGGAGAGGGAGTGCTTACAACAAAGCATCTTCATGTTGGAGTCCTGGGTGCTTGAAGATTGTTACATCTTGTTTCTGTTTTAGCTTTTGGCTGATGCCTGCTTTTATGCTGAAAAAAATTGTCCTTGGGAATTTTGCATCTGGTCCTCTAGATCCTGAAATGGCCGATGGGATTGATTTCATGGTGGACAGGGTAGGTGGCTGTGATCTCCATCTCTCTAGATTTATTCCATGGGAGGTTGTAGGTATTTCTGCTGCTTTTCTTCACTGAGGTACCCAGAAGTGAGGAGCAAGGAATGGATCCTTAGCAGGTGACAACTGTCACATCCCCAGCAGTTTAACTGGTGCTGTGACCTCACAGTTTCATTTACCTCTGTAGACCAGAAGAGGGGTAGTTAAGAAATGGAGGTGGAAGAGGAGAAAGTGCTGGATGTGTCTGTAGGCCAAATTCTGGAGGCAGGAGTAACTAATTAAACATGCTTTAAGCATTTGTCTCATGCAGAGTAATACTAGATTGGAACTAAAACCTGAAGCACAGTCATGTTTATCTTTAAAACTAGCTTCTCTTTGGTTGTACTGTTAACAATGCATTAACTTCTGCAGTGAAATATGTTGTTAATCAGTATTTCTCTCTACTGAAAGCTGGAGAGTCTAGGCCAGAGTGAACTTGCTTCAAGACTTACCCTCAACTGCCAGAACTCCTACGTGGAACCTCATAAAATTCGAGACACCCCTGTAACTATTATGGATGTAAGTCAATCTCAATGTCATAATTTTGTTTTTTTTAACTCTTTCCTGCCCTTGGCACATGGAACCTGGATATTCTGTTAGCAACTTAATAAATATCTGCAGCTAAATTCATACTTAGATAAACATTCTCCTGACTGGGCAACACTGACTCTTATGTGTTTCATTATGAATTGGATATTCTGTGCAACACCACAGCAATATGTTTACATATCACAGCCTTAGCTTTCCAGCTGTTTGTGTCTGACATGTTTGCTTGGTTTTGGTTTCATTATTGCTTCCACAGAGAAGCTGAGAATTGTTTCTGGGAGCAGCATCTATCCAACTTGATGTAATTAGCAAAATCTGATTGGATTCAGAGCTAACTGCTGTGACTTGTTCCATAGGTGTTTGACCAAAGTGCACTTTCGACTGAAGCGAAAGAGGAAATGTACAAGCTTTATCCTAATGCCAGAAGAGCTCACCTCAAAACAGGAGGCAACTTCCCCTACCTCTGCAGGAGTGCTGAAGTCAACCTATATATTCAAGTGAGTGTCTGTTCCCCAACCAACACACACGTGTAGCTGGAGAGTATTGCAGTAGCAGACTCCTTTTCTGTGCTTTCATGTCTTAACCTGCCTGAGCTCTGTTCGCTCCGGCTCCCAGGTCACCCACACAGAAGGGCAGGGCTGAGGGGAGCCATGTTTGTGAAGGGCTTTTTGGGTTTGGCTGGTGCCTGTATCCTCTGTCTTTTCTCTCAGCTCTTGTACCCCAGAGTAATGATTTCATCCTCACAGAAATTACTCAAAAGGAATGCTTCTCTTTTTGCCAAAACCTTCTGCTTCTACACCTGTCCCAGTGTTGTTTTCTGTGTCCGACAGATCCATTTGCTGCAGTTCCACGGAACCCGGTACGCAGCCATCGATCCCTCCATGGTCAGTGCAGAAGAGCTGGAAGTCCAAAAGATTACTCTTCACACCAGCACTGAGCAGGAAGAGCAGTAGGATTTGGAGTGCCAGGGAAAATGAGGAATGGGTTTGGTGGTCTTCCTGTGTACAATCAACTGTTCCCACTCTGCCTTTTTTCCTTGCGTTAGCCGATTATCACTGTGTGATTCCAACAGGATCAGTAGTCAGTGAACTACCCACAGACAGGAAACTCCAGCAGGGCAATGGGATAGATCTGTGTCATTTTTAGTCTTTGAATTCAAGGAAGTGTCTTTGAAGACTAGTTTTAAAAACAAAGACTTTTTTGCTACCAAAGTCCTCACTATCATGTTCTTAAGCAGAACAGTATTTCTTTTTATATTTTTCACTCAGCTGTGTATATTGCCACATGCAGATCGTGTACTTAGAAGCTGTCCTATATTTTTGTTGGATATTTGGTTTAAAAGATGTTTGAGTGCCAATGTTGCCATCACGTTATTTGCTTCCTATGTTGTGTTGTAAGTTAGTTTCTATTTGAAATAAAGCATTTGAATTTTTTACTACCTTGCTTGTTTAAAAATGGTTTTCAACAAAACTTCGATTTCATGTCTCTTGTTGTGACCACAAGAGAAGAATAATGTAGCTTACTGCAGTTCTGCTTTGCCTCCAGACACCTCTAGATATTAAGAAAACCAGCATCTTCTGCCTGAATTCACCTCAAGCTTTAATTACAAGGTTGCACTGGTTTAGCTCTAGGTAAGAATTATCAAGTTATTTTTTTAATAAAACGTAGCATGCGAAGTTAAGGGTAACATCTGGATTTATTACAACACAGACATTATTTTCCTCTTTAAAGAGTGTAAAAAATAAATACAAAGTATTACATGACAAATTGGTATTTGAGAAATCTGTCCCTGTCAGAGGCTGTGTAGATAACCAGGGACCATTCTTACCTTACATCTTTCAAGCTGTAAACTAAGGGTGAAAGAAATTACCTATTTGATTTATAAACAGCATATGTATGTTAATGTATATTTATAAACAGTTTGTTAATGTTTTTCTCTGAAACTTCTTGTAAAGAGTTGAAACATTAAAGATCACAACCCTCCAAGTTCCAAAAGGACCAGGTGGTCACCTTGACTTTTCTTCTTAACTTCCCACCCTAATAAGGAAGTTATGAACACACTGAAGACAGAAGTGATAGACATTCCTCCAGGAAATGTAAGTAAAGAACACTCTTGAAAACAAAGGCTGTCCCCTCAATAACTTAAAACATTGACAATTAAAAATGTATATACAAAATGTGATGTAAACAAGCTCCAGTAAAATAGTGTAGCATGTCCCTATATTCACAGTATGACATGAGGCTCACTTGCTGAACCCATCTGACAGTGCCCAGCCCACACCCACTGGCTGATAAAACCCTCCCTTCTGTGCAGAGAGGCATTTTGTACCATGAGCACTTTATGCCACCCTTGTCCAGCCCAAGAAGGAAGCAGCAGCAATGCCATCTGCCAACCTTGGGTTGCAGCCACCTGAGCCAGTGGCAGAGCAGATGTTTCCTCTGTTGCTCTGAGGATCCACCAGCTGGAGGAGCCCCAGTGCCCTCCTGCTGTTACATTGCTGTGCACTTCCGTGGAGAGGCAGAGTCTGCGTTTGCTTTTTTCCGAATGCTTTCTGTGAGAGAGAGAAGGGTCCCGCTGCACACAGAGTATAAAGCTGGGGCAGGATGTGCTCGTTAATTAAAAAAAAAAAAAAAAAAAAAAGGGAAAAGAAAGAAAATGACATGTAAGGGTAGCAAGAGGGGGCAGGGAGGGGTGGCTTCCAGCTTTGTGAATTGGCTTTGCTGAAGTTTATCCTCCATGTTGTGCACCCACAGATGCTAGTAGTGCTCACAGTGCGTTATTTGAGGGAAGACAAAAGTATTACCTGCTAGATCTCTCCTTCCAATCCCCACAAGGCCTTCGTACAATCCCTTGATTGGATTTTCCCCTGCCAGGACCGCGCCGTGGAGCCAGATAAGCAGCATTCGGTGGCCGTGCTCCCTGTAGCTTTTACTACCTGGTGAGATCAAACCACCACTGAAACGCTGTGCTCAGAGCACACAGCCCTGACAGCACAGATTTCTGAACTGAGGGGTTTGGACACCCCTCCCTCCTCTTTGGATTTTACTAGGAGGCTCTAAAGTACAGTTCAGCTTAATTCCTGGTGTGATTGCTAGATTAACATTACATCTCATGGAGTGGGCTGTGGATCAGCTTGGGCTTGTCAGACAGCCTTTTGTGGCAGTACAGAATATTTTGCAGCAGTATTTGCTCTCCTCATGCAAACCACAAGAGTCCTGACAGTAACTGAGCCAGCAGTGATGTAGTTCTGAAACTTAGAACCTGCTTCCACTAACGTATCAAATTCTAAATGGGACTTCACTGCCTTCTTGGTTCAGGTCCTTAAAAGAAAAAACCCAACAAGTTCCTTCGGTTCTACAGAACAAGAATTGTAGCAAGAGCTCCTCAGAAGGAGTGAACAATGACCTGCCAACCCCCATGCTCGTGGGCTTTACTCCTAGACAAAATCCAGCCTGTAGATAACTCCACATTCATTAAAAACATAATTTTTAGCCTAACTTGTTGGTTTTTTTTGTAATAACTCTGGTTTTATTCATGCTTTGCTGTTACTACAGACTTATAGAGACACAGTCCAAGTGAAGGAAGGAAAAGATCTGGGCAGTGTTTTATACCTGTCCATTGCTGTTCAATGGCCTTAATGTGGCCATCAGTGAATTTCCAGTAATGTGCCAGCTTCTTCCATTCACCAGGTTTGAGGTACTTGGTAGCTAATCTCCACATGACTGAGCGGATGTGCTGTGTTTCCAGCCTGTGATCTTGCTTGAAGGTCAAGTGCTTTGCCACCCAGGAGTCAGAGTCACTGTTCAGATTGTCCTGTGAAGCCAGAACAGGGGGTCAGCTGGGCACAGCAGACTTCTTAATTCTCTTTACAGAATCATAAAATTATAGAATGGTTTGGGTTGGAAGGGACCTGAAAGATCATCTAGTTCCAACCCAGTCTCTCTTCCGCTGCTAAATAAATCCCCACATGTCATTTGGTGACCTCAGGCCAAGCATCTTCCTGCTCAGTGCTTCAGTTTCTCCTGGGAAAAGGAACTAATTTTATCCCACTCCCTCCTACAGCTCCCAAAGAATCTTTGAAAACCACTGTTCCTTTGAGCATAGGCTGCTTTTTTTAACAACAGAAGCTTTTTTAAATAAGGAAAGCCTTAAGTAGTTGTTGGCAGGGTGAGGACTTCTGTTGTTTCTAGGTAAGGTGATGAAAGTAGAGGTCAGGCTGTTGCAGGATGCCCTGTATTTCTTTTCCCTTTGACAGCTGGCGATGTGGAGTCTCAACAGCAATGCTAAAGCTACATCTGCCCTGGAGAACAGGGGATGGTGATGGAACCTGCTCACCTTTTCCCACTTGTAAAACCGATCAGCTTTGATAATCATGTCTGCCAAGTTGATGTGATTGCCTCGGGCAGCTACATCCAGAGATGTTTTCCCTTGCTGAAATTAGAAGGAGAAAAATGAGCTGGAAGAGACCTTGCACGCTGAGGGAGGTACCACCTCCATGCCCACCCAGCAGTCTGGGGTAGCAGGCAGCACAGCCTGTTCAGCAACACCCCTAGCTGGGATGAAGGACCCTTGTTCTCCACCTGCAAACCCCTGGATGTGAGCCAGCTTCCAGGCAGTGCATGCAGGGCACAGGGAGGCACCTTCTAAGCTCTGCAGCATCTCCTTGGGTGTCACAGGGGATCTGCCCATTGGCAGGAGCAGGTGGGAATGCATCCTGTATCCCATAGTGGATGGCAGGCTGCTTTCAGGCTCCCAGGTGGCTGCAGCCACCAAAGGACCAGCTCAGCACCACAAACCAAGGCATTTTGTAGCCTTTTGCACAGCAGGTTTGCTGACATGTGGAGCTGAAGTGATTTATACAACCTCATTAATTTTATAGGCTCCCAAAGACACGATTAGAAAGGGTCTCCTAGGAGAAATGCAGGCTGATGGGACAATGAAAATGTAACCACATGCCTTGCACAAACCTGACTTTGGAGTTGGCACAAGGGCGATATTTGTATTTGTACTTGTATCTAAAAGCGTGTAGCAGAAAGAAACAAGATTTAAAAGTTGCATGAAGGAAAGCCAGACAGCCCGGCCATCAGGCATGTTCAAGCGAACAGTTCTAGTCCCAGATGGGAGCAGAAACCTTGTTGCACACAGAAAGGTATGAGGGATTTCCCTGTGCTGAGTCTCGCTGCAGTTCCGCAGGGCGCTGGAAGGGGGCAAACGCTCACCGCAGCTGAAGGCCATTCCACCCAGGTTCGAGTCTGCGTGTGCTTTAACCCACTGAGAACGCAGACACAAATTTCATCTCGGCCCAAGCCCCCTCAGCATTTTCTGGGCACATATCACGCTTCCAGGCTGCAGGCAACTTGCCGATTCCTCTAGAATTCCTTTTGATTTAATTAGAGGGCAAAAGCCCCTGACACTGGTGCCAGATCTTTACCAACTGGCTACTTTTAACCTATGAAATCACGTGCATCTAATTCTTGAGGTGTGTTATCTATCATTATTTGAGAAGATCTTTGATATTAGTGTGCATGATAGCACAAGTAGGAGAAACTAGAAGAACTTTGAGAAGAAAAAGTTTGCTCACTGTGTGAACTGTTTTCTACTTTCCTAGGAACCAGGCACTTCCTGAAAAACACACCAAAATCACCTCCTCAGCAGTATTTCAAGGCCTTATTCCTGGAAATATCTAGGTTTTAATATTACTAGCCTTAAAAATTATGAAATACAGTGGCAAAGATCATCCATATTTTCCCTCCATACCCCCACAGAATCTGTTCAACCCCTGGAGACATTTACCTTGTCTGTCAGCTTCAGATTAACTCCTGCAATGAGAATCATCTCAGCAATGTCCTGCCTGCCGTGCTCCGCTGCGATGTGCAGCGAGGTCTGCTGCCTCTGCAGAAGGAGGGTGAAAGGACTACATTTTAGACAAGGACATGTGTAAGACTGGAAGGATAGGACAGAACAATTCCAGGATGAAGCACTGTAGGAACACCGACAGCTCTGCCCTCCTTTCCTCTCTACCCCTTTTAAAGTGAGGGCTAAACGCCCTCCTACCTCAAATGACAGTTGGTTTCCTCAGGCTAAGAAGAACTGGTCTGTCCCATCACTAAGAAGCATTTCTAGTAACATTTCAGTCTAAAGAAGGAATATCTTCAGTTCCATAAAGCTCTCTACAGTCACTTACAGCACTATTTTATTTCCTATCTTTGCAGATAGTTTGGTCAAGGAAAGGACCTGAGTTCATTCTTTGTTCTTAGGACACAGGCTGGGTTGATGTCTATGCACTGTAAGCTGGATGCACCTTGGGGCTGTTCAATGGAAACAACTAAAACCAAACATAAAATGTGGCAATTCTGTGGTGTCATCAGGAGAGAACATCACTACAAGAACAGAGACATTACAAACAAGCCACACAAAGCCCCTCATTCATAAAATTACAACTTGGTGAGAGAACCAGCTACCTCCAGGCTTGCTTCCCATTCTCAGCCCCCCAAACATTTTGCAGAATATCTTCTGGCCTGAAATTCTTCCCATATGCTTCCAGCAGGGAGCAGGGAGCCTGACTATGCAGTCTCACTGTGCTCAGGTCCCAGGGGTATGGCACAGCCACTGTGTTGAACACCATCAAGCACTTACCTCACTGCAACACTCTTCTCATTTCACAGGTTTCACGTTTCTCAAGCTGCGCTTCCAGGTTTTCCCAATTTTAAAGCACTCCTCTTTAATCCTGTCCCCAAGGTGATCAGATCCCCCACAAAACCCGTTCCCATTTCAAAGACAAAGAACAGGAGCTGCAATCTTACATTATCTGGAATGTCAAGGTCACACTCTGCCTCTATGAAGAGCTTCACCATGGCTGGGAAGTTCTGCAGCACCGCAATGTGCGTTGCTGATGCGTTTTGCTGTGGAAAGAAGATCCTGCCTTTAGGAAAAGCTGAGCTCACGGCACCGAAAGGACCATGCTCTGCCCAGCCTGTCTTATTCCAGCCAGCCTGGACTGGGGGCAGCCTGCAGGTACTGCTCCATGAGCACAGCCCCCACAGCAGCACTGGCCCTTGCAGAGTTGCTTTGTGCTCTGTCACAGCTCCACAAACTGGCTTTGCCTGTTTGGGAGTGATGAGAGCGAGAAGTGGGACTTACGTGATTCACAGCATCTGCGTGGATTCCTGCCTCCACCAGGATCCTGGCTATCTCCTCATGGCCGTGCAGGGCTGCATAATGAAGGCAGTTCATCTTCTTCTGAGAGGCACAGCAGAAAAGATGGGCATTAGTCAGGGCTTCTCAGTGGCTGCAGTTGTTACAGACTGTCCACAGAGATCTCCCTGCTTCCCTCCTGCGAGAGCCCCATACTGACAAATTCACAGATTTTCTCCACAGCCAAATAGGTCCCAGGGAACTTCATTCCCCTCTTTGTACAAAGCCACATGTACTTTCCTCTGGACTCCCTGCTCTGCCTCTGAAGCACTGGGCTCCACATGGCCTCACCTGATAATGGGGAGGGATCTGGGCAAAAATCCACAAAGTGGTGTTTGTAAATGGAATCACCTCCATGGAGCTCACCTGGGTTTGGGCATTGACATCAGCACCTGCTTCCAGGAGCAGCTTCACACAGTCGCTGTGACCCCACTCAGCAGCCAGGTGCAGAGCTGTAAGTCCTTCCTGGACAAGGGAAAAAAGGAGACAAGCAGCACTGCTGTAGACAAGGCTAAGACTGAGCAGCAGAATGAGCAAGCCTTTACCTCATCTTCTGAATCCATGACATGTTAAAATACCAGTTCTGAGAGCCTGGGCTGCTATTAGGAAAATAAAGGACACAATTATCTGTCCCTGACATATCAGGGTATCACTCTTGTCCTTATGCCACAGGAAACTGCTAGCTCATGGGTCACAAGACAGACATCTTGCTCATCATTTTTTCTCCTCTTCAGCCTATTAGCAAGCAAAAAGGGATTTTGCATGGACAATGAAGACAAACCATTTTCCTGGAGTAGCTCAGAGACAGCCATAGGCAGAACCGGAAACCTAGGGCCTTCAACTACTGGTTCTCCCTTCTGAGAGCTGCAGCTCACTTCTTTACAAGAAACAAACAAAATTCCTGAGTGATTTAATCTAGTTTTATTATTGCTCTTTGCAATAATAACAAAGGGCAGCTCATCTGGGAGAAGATAAATGCTACCAGAGTTGCCACAGAAGGTGGTTTCCCCTTTCTTTCAGATCTTAATCACAATCAAATACACTTTTCAAAGACAGTAACCAAATAAAACTTTAAAAATTGCTGATAAACTTAATTGGGAGTGTGTCCTGGAATAAATAACAGTACTATTAAGCCAATATTTGCTATCTAAATCTTTAACTGTGTTCCAGCCTCATAATTTTCCAAAGCAGGTCTGTCAAAGAGAGATCTCAAACAGAAGGTTCATATGTTCAGTGACTAAGTCAATACTATAAAGCAGTGAAGTTTAGTTTAAAACTCGGTAACAATTTAGGCACAAGGGTCAGAGAGAAAAAGAGAGATTAAAAGGAGTGATAAGGTAGGTCAGCAGATATAGCAGAAGAAAAGGCAACACTTTAGAATTGGATTCAAGAAGGATGTTGCCTTTCACTGATCCTCTGCCAGTGTCATCTGCATTTACACACATATGCTTTAGATAAAATCAGCTATTTCCTAAACCTCTCTTGTCAATACTGACTATCTAGCCTGATGACTGTGGCAGGAGAAAATTTCTAGGGAGGGAGAGGGTGAAATTGATGTGGTTTTCATTTCATTTAAATGTACTTACCAAGTTCTTTCCATCAAGGCCCACTCCAACATCAATAATCTTCTGCAGCACAGAGGAATGTCCATTTTTAGCAGCTAAATGCAATGCTGTATTTTCTTCCTGAAAGTAAACATCATTTCATGCATGTATGTAAAGTCCTGGAGAGAAATCCAACATGGACTGAGGTGCAAAGGGCTTGCAAGTGGATAGGGAGGAAAAGTCCTGACACACCTCAGCTATAGTTACAACTACTGACAACTTGTCTACATAAGCCTCTTTGGTAACCTGTTTCCCAGCTTTCACATCCTCTAATCCTTGGACTTCACCTCCCTACCAGGTGTCTTATGCCCATACCTTGTCTTTGGCACTGTGAGAACAACCCAGTTGAATTAGGAACTCCACCACCTCCAGCTGCCCATGCTCCGCAGCCAGGTGAAACGCTGTCCTGTCCATCTGCAAAAGAAAACAAAACACAGTCCAAGAAAGGCTCAGAAAGGACAAGATTAGAGCATCTGCTGCAAGCAATATAATGCTGCCTTGGTGACAACCCATTCCCCAGGGGGGAAAAAAGGGCTGCACTTTCAAAATACTTATATTTTATTCTGCTGTTAACTTCTCTTCTGATTTACATTTGGGATGACCCTAACAAAAAGTGAACAGAACTACCCCCTGAGCCCAACAACTCCAAGCACCTTGGTCTCACCAAACACTGGAAAATGGATCTTTTCAGGGTTTACTTCATATAGATAAAGGTAAATAAATAGTTTACTAAAAGTAACTACAGATAAAAAACCATAACCACTATCTGTGTCCCCAGTTATCAAATGAGTTAAAACCTCTATTGGGGAAAAGCAGAAAAGCAGATCTCTTGTTGCCTCATTTACCTCCCAAGCATTAAAGTGGGGATCAATTTTGGGAGCCATGGAGGCCACAGAGTGGAAAGAGCATGTGCCAGCTCCTGTCTTCAGCTAGACTGTCTTCAGGAACAGATCAGCTAATGCTGGAAGATGCTAGGAGAGGGTTACCCTTGCTTATTGCTTATATACAGTACACCCAGGAGTATCAGCTGCACAAGAGGAGGACACCAAAATTCCTGAATTAGTTCTGCAAAAAAAGCTACACTGGGAATCCGTGGCTGCTGAAGCTTGATCAGAGCCAGAATCCTTATCTTTCCTAACCCTCCCTCCACAGGAGGGCCAGAGCCTGTGTGGGATACCCTTGGTTCTCCAGGAGTGGTATCTGACTCAGTCTCTTCCCAAGACCAAGGCCGATATTCCTACTAAGTGCAGCAAAGTAAGGTAAGATCTCATGAAACAAAGCAGGGAAGAGCCTTCCTACCTTGTCAGTCTTATCCACACACATGTCCTCCAGGTCCTCCATTATGAACTCCATCACCTGGATGTGTCCCCTCTGAGCAGCACAGTGCAGCATGTTCCTGCCATTCTGAAGAGGAGACAAAGGACCGTTCATTTAACAAGTCCAAGACTGCAGGACAGTCTCTTTAACAAGCTGTTCCTGTTAGCAGAGACCCATTCCATGCCTCTCTGCAACTCTAGGGCAAAACTTGCTGTCTGCAGCACAAGCTAGTTATGATAGAAGCATCAATGCTCATTTCCCAGCCAAGATCTATTTTAAAATACACAGATTGCTGATTCACTAAACCCAGTTCCCAAACCCTTCCACCTCCGCACTGAGCTGAGGAAGCTGTGTCCATCTCTTGGCTACAGTTATTACACCTGAGGCAGAAGTGCCACTGGCAGTCCTCATGGCAGATGCTGTCACACACAATTACCTGAGAGTGCAGCCTCTCTCCCCCCCCTCACTCTCTGGAGCTGGATGATGGACCCACGTAGGATGACTCTCTCACCCTATTGACACAGTTAATCTTGGCCCCAGCATTGACAAGGATCTGCAGGACACGGAGGTGGCCAAACCAGGCAGACAGGAGAAGTGCATTCATTCCAAACTGGGTGGAAGAGAAGAGAGAGAGACTCACAGCTAAACTGCAGTCAGCACCATCCCCACCCTGGAGGGAACCTGTCCCTCTGCTTTCATGAAGTTCTCAAAATATCTTTATTTCTCTTTGGGTTTGGGGTTATTTTAGCTTTCTCCAATTGCTCCTATTCCTGCCACAGATGGTCACAGCAGCTGAGCAGAGACCTGCCTCTTGACTGCCACATCGTAGTCAATGGTACTAGCCCAGCTGTTATGGGGGAGACAGAACTTGCTGGCTGTCACTGCCTTTCCACCAGCCCCAACAACGTGACCAGAAGAAGCCAAGCATCCCCATGCTATGCAAGAAACCTCACAGATTCTACCAGCCTACTTCCCAGTCACTGTGCATGCAAGGAAAAGGCCAAGAGAGGAGCACAGATACAGCTGGTAACAAGGCTTCCTCTAGAAAGCTGCTGCACCTGCCTCAGCAGGGAGGCCACAGCTCCCCAAGCACTGCCTTGTGCCACCCAACCAGGGTTAAGGTGCAGTCTGTAACTGCCAGCACAGCACCCCAACACAGAACGCATCTTCAGGACACGCAAGGGAGATTTGCCATCATACACTGTCTTTGTCATCCACTGGGACGCCGTGATCCAGGAGCAGACGCACGGCATCCACGTTCCCTGCTCCTGCAGCCCAATGCAGGGCAGTCCGGTCTGTCTGCAAGGGAAGAGAGGAGAGGGAAGGCTGAGGTATGCAGGGTGTGTGTATCCACCAGCCTTCCTGAAGGCCACAACCTCCTTTGCCATCCATTGATCCAGAATTCCCGCATTGTGCAGGGTTTTCTTTGGACACAGCCCTCTGCCTCTTTGCTCTCTGCTCAGGCAGGCAGGTGCTGTCACCTTCTACTCAGAAACTGCAGTTTTGGGCTATACTGACAGCACAGGAATGAGCAACATCACTGACCATAAATGGACAGATTGAAACTGTAGGGATGGGTGCAATCCCATATTTCCAGGAATCTACTGGTCAACAAGTGGAGACTTGCACCAGAAGTTCTGAGATAGCAAAGTCAAAGCCTGTCGTTGCAGCCATGTGTATCTGGCACAGGGGTTCTACAGGGAACCATAAACTATGACTCTCCCTCAGCCCTTGCAACTTTCCAGTCTGGCCAGGATGACAGTGCTGTGGGTTTCAGCATGTTCCGAAACTGCTCAGTTGCCACAGGCCCTACTTGGCACTGGGCACTGTACTTTAAAGCTTTGTCCAGCTGAGCAGCTAACAAGAAGAGTACTGCTAAGGAGCTGCAGTTCTGAAACACACTCTCAGCACATCCAGCAGCTTAGAGGTGGAAAACCCCAGGACTTACATTGTTTTTGGCTTTGATGTCAACCCCTCTCCTGATGAGCTCCTCCATCCTGGCCGTGTCATTACGCTTTGCTGCATCATGGAATTCCTTCTCTGAATGAAGCACTGCAGCAGAGACAGAAGAGGGGGCATTAAAACAGTGCTGGCAGGGGGCACAGAGCAGCATGCCCCAATAAACCTCCCCTTCATCTCACCAGCCCTGCTGGCTTCAAGGAAAGATGAATGCAGAAAGGTTCTTCCAGCAAGAATCTCAGGCCTACAGCCATTGGCATGTTTGCTGGATTTGTCCTCTCCCACTATCTGCCTTCCCCAAGTACCCCTGTGCCACATCAGTGCTCTTCCAGTCCTACCAGCTTCTCTTCTAATTCAGGGTCTTTCTCCGCATGGGCTTGCTCCAGCTGCAAAACCTTTTGATCTGTTAGGTCCACATCCTCTGGACATCCTCCTGGGTCCAGAGCTGGTGTGAGGGCTTGGGCAGATGACACAGACCCTCTCCTTCATCCTTCCACTAAATCCCACTGTTCTACAAGGAGGCCTTAACACATGGTCCTTCTGTCCCCCTCCAGGCAACCTGGTGAGCCAAGGAGCACAAAACTGCTAGTCTGGCCTGTGATTAATGTTGCATCTCAAAGTGGCAGTTCTGGGCATAATTTACCACAACCTGCACTGTTTGTCCTGCACAGTTAGGCACAATGCAAAGGTGTTTAGTCTCCATGCTGGGGCTTGCCCCAGCAATCTTCTCCTTGATCAAACAAACCTTCCTGCCAAGAAACAAGAGCAAAGCTGTAACTCTGGGCCTGATGCAGCCCCTCAGGGAGGCTCCCAAGGTTTTTGGCCAGGCTGATGTCAGTTTTCATTGAAGTCGGTTTCTGCCCTACTGCTTTTGGGGAACTGTTTTTGAGAGGTGCTTGAGGCAGACCCTTGGCCTGTCTCATCCCACTGGAGAGCTGTCTCAGATGCTTGGCTCTCTTCTGCATTTCTGCAGGTCTCAGGCTGCAGTTTGAGACTAGCAAGGGCTCAATGCAACTTCAGTTTGTATCAATATATTGTCTAGATACTAACCACGTGCCATACAAGAGGAATCAAACCATATCACTGTTCCTGTTCCACCACACCGAGGAGAGTAAGAGACTTGCTGCCTAAATAGTACCACCCCATTTCTCTCTGGAGGGCACAGAAGGAAGGCACCCCTATTGTGGACTCTTAGGGCAGCAAAGGGAGTTTATGTTAGTTATTGACCCACGGCTACACACATACTACCTCCTAGCAAATGCTTACTTCCATTCAGTGAAGTAAACCCTATATTTCAGTTAAGCAAATATTGCTGCTTCTGCTCTGCAGGTGACAGAAAAACATTCTTGTATTTTATAACACAAAGCATCCTTGAAGAGATGCCAAACAGCCCCTTGATTTATTTATTCTTCCCTCTACCTGTGAAGATGCAATAACAAACCTTGTATCACTAAGGCTGTAGAAGCTGAAATTTAAGTATGTTCAGCAACACACGGGAAACTGAGGGGCTGAGCGTCCACCCCAGCCAAGCTACCCTGGTAAATGCAAACCCAGCCTCACCATGGCATGCACCTGTGCAACAGCAGCATTTCAGAAGATATTTAGCTGTTTTCCCTTCTCTTTCCAGGGCATTTCATACCTTCGGGCACTGAATATTAATTCAATTACCCCAAACTGCAGGGAAAACAATTTATTTACCCTCAGTGCAACGCACCAACTCACAGGCAATTTATTATGCAAGAAATGTCAAAAAGCGGCAAAGGAGATGAAAGGCATGCGAAGAAATGAGCTAAAACTGCCCTCTGGAACTACCTGAGGCCGCGGGACACAAAGACAACCCCGGGACGCCGAGGTGGGGGGTTCTGGTGTTCCCTGCAGCACCTCAGGGGTGCAGGATGCTCTGAGGCAACAGCGGCCTCCGTTCCCGGGGAGGGTTTTACGCTGATTTGGTTTCTGAACTGACCCGTGTACGCCTGGTTACCCTGTAAAGCATCTCGGCCTTTCCAGCCCCCGGGGGCAGCCGGGCCGCTCAGGGGCCGCCCAACCCTCATCCCCCCTCACGGCTGCCGCCCTCCCAGGCCCGGGTACCCCCCAAATTCCCGATCCCAGGGCAGCTCCCGCCCCATCCCCATCCCCATCCCCATCCCCATC